CGACAGTGCTCTGTTAGGAATTATTGACTTCTCATAAGGAGTAGTTGAGGGGTGAATAATTACTAGTGCGGTAATAAATTCATAAAAACCTAGCAGAGCACTGTGGTATGTCATAAATATTATTTTTGGAACTTTACTAGTTTTAACCAAAAGCCAGCAAAATCGCTCCGCTTAAGGGTGGTTTAGCGGTGAAAAATTATTAGGGTGGTAATAAAAAAGTGAAAAATTGGTAAAAAAAATATGCCAGAGACAAAAAGTTTTTTTCCGAATTCTGCTAGTTTGAACCTTTAGCCAGCAGAATCGCTCCCCCTGATGTTTGTTTGGTGGTAAAAAATTATTAGGGTGGTAATTAATTAGTGAAATGTGGGTGAAAAATATTACGTAGGTTAAACTGGATTCCGCTCATTTGTCCCCGCTAGCTTAAGAGTCATCACGAATACATATTATATGTACTTACGCGAAAAATTCCGAGCAAAAAAAAATTCGCCTGTGCCTATGCAGCAGTTTGTAGGTATGGATATAGTGTGAGTAGTGTATTTACAGTAGTTGCAGCAGCATGTCCGTCATGAGCTTTAGAGCCATCACTAAAAATTTGGAGATAATTAGGATAATGAGATATCACTTCGGAGTACAAGTGTTTAATGAAAATCGGATTTGTAGTTGATTTGGGGTATTTTGTGAGGGTTAAGTCAATGGTAAGTGGTTGGATTGTCCATGGAGGAAAATTTACACTGACTTGTAGAGATAGATTTAGCTTATCCATGTCAAAGCTAGAAGATTTTATTCGTTCTATAAGGGGAGTACTATTTTTAGTTAGTTTTGTAGAACCGAAAACTGGGATGGTAAATTTGGGAGAATACTGGATGTTGTTTCTGAGCTGATCTTTTCTATGCTTTTTATGCTATGTGCATCAGCTATGCTGATGTTTTCTGTGCTTTTCCCTATATAGTTTAGGGATAGTTTTTGGCGTCTACTATATAGACAGTTCACTCGCTAAAACTTGTAAGCTACTAATAGGACTAGTTCTGAAGGCACCCAGTGCTAATCACAAACTATAGATTGTATGCTATTTAGTTTTTTTAAAGCAGTTTTGCTTGCAGCAACGTAAGATATGCAACCGTAATCTAATTTACTTCTAATAAGTGACTTTTAAAGGCTAATTAATGTTTTACAGTCGGCACCTCAAAATTTATTAGATAATATTTTAAGTCTGTTTAACCGGTTTTGGCATGCTTGTTGTAACTTATTAATATGCATTTAATTTTTTATCGAAAGCTAGGCCTACAAAACTTGCTTCCGTTGACTGCTTTATAGGTAAATCATTTAATGTATGGTGAGTGTTATTTTTACTAAAAATTACGTATTGAGTTTTTTCTGCAGAAAAATTGAATCCGGTTTGTAATGTCCAGTTTTGAAGTCGATTTAACATAAGTTGTAATATATTTGTTGCTGAAACTAGGTTTTTAGATTTGGTGTAAATTAGAATATCATCCGCGTAAATTCTAGCTTTAATAGGAGCTCTAATTACATTTATGATGCTATTAAAAGCTACTAAAAATAGGGTTGGACTTAAAATGGATCCTTGAGGGATTCTATTTTCTAGCACTTTTGGAGTACTTGTGATTTCATTTATTCCAACTTGTATAGAACGATTACTTAAGAATTTTTTTATAAAAGCAAACATGTTACCTTAAATTCCATAATTATTAAGTGTTGCTAATATAGAGTGTTTCCATATCCTATCAAAAGCCTGGGTTATGTCAAAGAATATTGTAATCGACATCTGATTGTTTGCAAAGGCTACATTGATTGACGTTTGTAGTGAAATATGATTATCTAATGTAGACCGTCCCTTGCGAAAACCACTCTGAAATGGGGTAAGGAGATCTTTTGTTTTCAAATACCATGTTAGACCAAGATTTAAAATGGTTTCCAGTATTTTGCACATGCTGCATGTGAGAGAAATAGGACGGTACGATGAGGGTATATCTTTGGGCTTATTGGGTTTAATAAAGGGAATAGTTATTGCCTGAGACCAGTTTTGAAAATTTATGTTTTAAGAAACAGGTATTGAATAAATCTAACAATATTATTTTTGCTCTGAAAGGTAGGTGTTTTATGAATATTGGTTTATGGTGGTAAGTGTTTTATGAATATTAAAGGTGGTTTCTTGATACCATTCTCGGAGATTTCGTAGCCAGGATGTTATCCCTAGCCTGGGCCTGCCATTACTTAGCAGTAATGTTATTACTGGATTAAGGCTATGGGAAGTAAAAATTCTGTAGGTTTAATTCCAGATACTCACAGGTGTCACTCAAATTATGAGTTAAGCGGCTGTGATACTGCGACAATAGTAGCGTCTGACCCAGAGTGGGCGGCTGCAAACAGCGTCTGTTCCCAGAATGGGCGGCTGAAACACACTTACCAACCCGTCTGGCCAGCGTGGTGAAAGTTCACGGCCAATCTACCCCCCCACTCTTACGACAGATACACGTAAGAATTGGCCCTTAGTCCCCAGCAGCTCCGGAGTCACCTTCCAAGGCAATGGTAGGATCGAGGAAAGAGCAGAGGGTGCTAAGAATCCCTGGGTTTTAAAAGATTGCCATAAACAACGAAAACAAGCAACGAAACTGGATATTGCAACTTATAATGTCAGAACATTGATGAGAAACGAAAAGCTAGCCGAACTGGAAGAAGAAGTAAAAAAGATGAAATGGGATATATTAGGATTAAGTGAAATAAAAAAAAAGGGAAGCCTGTATGAAGTTGAAATCCGGGAACGTACTATACTATAAAGGAACTGAAGAAGAATCATTAGCTAGTGTCGGTTTTCTTATTTCTAATCAGCATGTCCATAAGATTAGACAATATATTGGAATTTCAGAAGGGATCGCGGCTCTAATAATGGACATAAATAAAAATATAAGTTTAATGATCATACAAACTTAAGCCTCTGCATCATCACATACGGATGAAAAAGTGGTGATATTCTACGAATCATTGACACAAACAGTGAACAAATACAAAAGCACCTACACAATCATTATAGGCGACTTCAATGCCAAATTAGGGAGAAAACTAGAAGAATCAGAAAATAAAATCGGCAACTTTGGATATGGAACACAAAACGAAAGAGGAGAAACATTGATGAACTATATGGAAACGAACGGTCTATATGCGATGAATATATTTTTCAATAAAAAACCACAGAGAAAATGGACGTATGTCGCGCCCAATGGTTTAAAAAAAATGAGATTGATTACATCCTATCCAAAGAAAAGAACATAGTACAAGACGTTACGGTCATAAACATGATTTCGGTAGGAAGTGATCACAGAATTGTTAGAGCCAAAATCAAAATTAATGCCACAACAGACAGACAAAAATTTAAACCATCTAAAAAAGAAATAGACACAGAACTTCTTAAAGAACGCAACGAACAATACATAAACCAGCTAAAAAGAAGGTGACATATCAGAGCTAAAGGGTTTACAACTAGGGACCGAATTAAACGATAAAAAAACAACAGAACTTACTAGACAGCAGGCCTGAAGATTTGCTAAGAAACATAAAGGCGGAAAACAACAAAAAAAATTAGGCGTAAATCACAAAGATAAGCTAAAATAAAAAACTACGACAACTCCTGAAAGATACCAAAAGAAATACTAAACGAGCTAACAGAGGAAAATCAAAACAGCCCGAAATATCGCGACGAGGTAAGAATAGGGATGGGCCAGCGTTTGGGCAAACTTTCTTACGTTCTAAAAAATCAAACAATCCCTCTATACTTACGAAGCAAGGTATATAACTCCTGTATAATACCGGTGCTCACTACGGAGCACAAACATGGACATTTACATAGGCCAATTTGGATAGATAAGGAAGGCACAAAGAGCGATGGAGAGACAAATGTTGGGTATATCACTTAAAGATAGAAAACGGTAACCAGTGGATCAGAACCAAACAAAGACAGTAGACGCGATAAAACAGCAGCAAAACTAAAATGGAAATGGGCTGGACACAATGAGCTTCTCCAAGACGGACGATGGAACAATGCCATCGGAAAGTGGCGTCCCATACAATGCAAAGAGATCAAGGTGCAAACCCACAGAATGAGGTGGAAAGATGACATCAGGATACAAGGAGGTCCCACATGCAGAGACAGCTCTAAATAGGAAAGATAGAGAGAACTGGGGAGAGACCTATATCCAACAATGAAGGATAGAGAATAGGTTAAAAAAAACCATATTTATCAATTTTGTGACTTCCCCATGCCGGGTTCATATTCCTAAAATAATGTAGGATGTTAAATTTGGCCAATAAAATTATTTAATTCGTGCATATCTAGATTACTAGGGGTGGTAACTAAATGTACATATGTTAATCTTTTTATGATAGGTATAGAGACTTCAATTCTTTGTTGGATAAGATATACATAATTATACGATTTCACTTTTGACTTCATCCAACTAAGAAACAATTTTTAATTAATTTCTCTTTCATTAATAAATTCTGCATTCATCTAATATATAATTTACATTCCGTTCAAGTACAGAGTTTAAAAATATGACCTTAATTACAAATTAATCATACATATTTTCGGATTTACCCTCCAAATCATTGTTTAGCAATTTGCATGACCGCTTAGTTTCATTGTTCGTCTTCACATTTACTCTCTTAAACAAAACAAATCAGTATTTATAGGTCATTTGGTGAAATTATTCTAGTAGAGAGTGGGCACGTGCGTAACAATCCTGGTGGAAAGAATTCTCGACATTAACGTGTATGGATAAGTGTATATTCTTAACGACACCGCGTTACGCTCCGTGAGGTATACCTGAAGAGTCATTTGTCACGCTACTTCCTCAAAGTCAAGACAATTTAGTTGTGTCTTATTTTTGCTAGGCCGTAATTTTGCTGGCATCGCTATGTGATCATAATAATACATTTTAATAACGACAGTATTTGTTGTATGTTGTGTTAGATATGAGGCTTCGACAATGAATGGTGCATTTAAGGTGGCAATTTTAGTGGTCGGTTACGGATATTTTATAGTTATAGTGAAGATGTGCCCTTTCTTTTGGTAAGATATCTTTATGCAAATTCGGAAGTATTATTCCACACTCCAATTATTTCACATTTTTTTTGGTGGTTCGGTAATTATAGGTTTTTAAGTTTTGGTTTTTAATACTAATAATTGAATTAAACAGAAAAACAGTATTTATAAAAGCGCTAAATTTTAGCATAGTTGAAAAATAAAGTTATATGTAAACATGACTGTCTGTTTTTTAATGTGCCTTTAGTGTTGTTTGTTACTCTATTTATTGTTATTTGGTTTATATCATTTCAGTCCTACTTTTTTCTTATTTACCCAGTCTTTAATTTTATCCGTTTTGCATCTCGTCATGTATTTGTACTTCTCGCTCTGGACATGTGCTTACTCTCAATTTTTCTGAAGGATTTTATCTCCACTTCGTGTCTTGTATGTTTTGTTTCTCTCTTATCGGTCGTGTTTTTTCCGCGTTCTTCTTCTCTTCTTTTGGCATCATAATAAAACCCCTGGATGGGTCTTTGCCTGGATGGCTATGTTCCCATTTCAGATCTCTCTTGTGCCCTTCTTCTCCATTGTCTTTTTTATTGTTTTTCAAGGTCGTCTTCCACGTCATCCAATCATCTCGTTCGGGCCTTCCTTTTTTTCGCCTTGCCTATGGGCTTCCATTGTAACATTTTCTTTGTTGTTTTTGCATCGTTTAGTCTCTGCACATGTCCCAGCCATGACAGTCTTTAACTTTTCACAAATCTTACAATGTCATAACCTTAATTTAACTCATTAACCTCGTCGTTTCTCCTGATTCTCCATGATGCCATCTTCCTCTTGTACTGGGCCATAATACTATTCCTCAGTATTTTTCTCTCGAATGTCCTGAGTTGGGCTTCATCTTTTTTCGTCATTACCCAAGTTTCATATCCATAGGTTACTACGGGTCTAATCAGTGTTCTGTAGATAGTCATTTTGGTTTTTTGTCTATAATTTCGAGGTCATCAATCTTTTATTCGCATAGTATGTACGATCCCGCTGGAAATACTGCATTAATTTCGCTACTACGGAGTATCTTCTGATAATTTGAGCCGAGATATGTAAAGGCTTCCACTCGTTAGATAGTATAGTTGTCCTATTGTGATATTATTTTCATTGTCAGTTATTCTCTTGACTGTCATATACTTCGTTTTTGCTTCGTTTTATTTTGAGACCTCTTTTTCTTGCTTCAGGATCATTTTTTTTGTTTTTTTCTTCCGCATATATATCATTACTAGTCTGTTTGGAAAATTCTTTTTTTTTTATTTTTTTATTTCCCAAGTAAAAATTTGCAATTTGTCCTGTTTGGGTAATAATCAAATTTGATAATTCAAACAAAGAAATTAACAATAAACGATAATATCTGCCATGCTGTACCTTCCTTATTAAATTTAGATAAAATTCATATTAAAAAAAATTCCTTATATTCTAAACAATTCTGCTTATGAAAATCTATCTGGTTAGTCCAATGGTTTGTACCTTTTAAGTCTTTTTACTTCTATGCTGTTTTCCAGTAGGTTTATAGCACTAGAATTTGGGTGCATTTCTAACGGCTTTAAATGCCTGTCACTACACTTTTTAATTTCTTCACGCAAAACATTCACTGAGAGATCACGATATATGACTTCATTGGGGACGTAGTATGGTGCATTAACAATCTGCCTAAAGGACATCAATTTAGAACCTCTGCTAAGATTTCAATATTGGATTCGCTTGTACACCCCACGTTTGAAGGACATAGGTCTAGATGGTATTAAAATTACTTTATACACTACTAATTAGTTTTCTATTGATAGTTCAGATCTTTTTCCCAAGTAGCCGGTAAAGTTGTCTTAATTTTAGTTCAAGTTGTTTTTGTCTATGAAGATGTAGTTTCTCCAAGTAAGTCGTCCATCAAGATGAATATCAGTATTTGCACCTCTTTTTCATCTGATTGCAGTGCATCTTAATTGTTTAGTTGTCAGACGTTTAGTTGTAAAAGTACATGGTTTGATTTACTGTCATTAAAATTGATTCTCCATTTTTTTAAACCACAAATCAATGGTGTTTAAGGGACTTGTAACCTTCTAGATGCTTAGATCCAATTGGTATGCGACGAGAGAATGACGGTATCCTTAGCAAATGTTGCCAAGGAACACTGATCAAAAGTGGTTAGGTCGCCCGTGAATAATAGATATAAGAGTGGACCAAGCACACTACCTTGTGGTATGCCAGAGTTTATATGTCGCAATGCTGTTACTATCGTATCGGATTTTATCTGGAAATATATGTCTGGAATATAACTATGTTGTAAGCCTGTATGCCACATTTTATCAAAAGCTTGTATACCAAATTCGTAGTCAAGAGCTAATCAGTTTTCTTCTAGTCAGTAGAAAAAAAAAAAAGTAGCACCAAGCGGAGGGCGTAGTGATTACGAGCCTTTGTCTATTTTAGATTTCGGTGCTGCTGGTTCACGGACGGAATGTAGTTTTTCGTGGCAAAGCTCTCCCAATTAAGCCCAGTTTAAACTACCTTATATACCAGCTTCATTTCTAAATCATTGTTTCATCGATTATACTGCTTGTGAAGCTATCACAACAAGCAAACTGGGAGATTAGGCTATTTTTGCTTGTCTTTTTTTATATCCATAATGAGAGACCGACTACCACTAGTATTTATTGGATAACTTGGTTGCATATTTACCTTTCTCCAACCATTTATTAATGTTGTATTGTCTTTCACGGAGGAGAAGATTTAGGCATTTTCAATCGACTGTTTACGCGACAAGTCGGGGAGTTCGGATAAGCGGTCGTTTTATCTGTATATTTTTTACTGTACTGTAGTATATTTTTTTCTGTACTCTATTCATTCAAAAATTCCAAAATTCCCATATTTTACACTTTTACAATTATTTTAATGTTTTAAGGCATATTCCAAACTATATTTTAAATATAGTCGGTGTTGAGAGGCAAACATCCCTGTTTTAGGGACCTTTACTTAACTTAAATGGATGTGCCACATTTGTCATTTTTACTGTTATAATGGTGTTTCTGTATAACGCTTTTATAGAATTTATTACCGTAACACTAATGTCTATAGGACTTTCCACAGTCTTGGACACACACCGTTTTACCGTTTAGATCTCCCAAAATTATAATATATCTTGCGTCTCGTATCTAATTGTGAAATTTCCCAAATGTCATAGTAATTTGTCTTTATTCTATTACCCTGGTGTTAATACCCCTATGGTGGTTTATCTTTTACCATTCATTTTTAAGACCATTTTTATAATTCATTCATCGAATGGGGTCCCTATGAATAAGGATAGCTCTGCTATGCTCTTTTTGTCTTAAGGTACTCGATTTATCGAAGAGCCTATCTATTATTATTCCAAGATATACAAAGATTTTCCTGATAACATTTCTTTTCTTCTTAGTTTCGGTTAGAATCGCGATGTCTACTTTTATACTGTGTTTACTTTTTGTTCACTGGTGTTAAGATATTTTACTTTTTTTAAAGAGGACTTTATTTATTTTGGACAATGTTTCTTGTATAGTTTAAGTGCCTAAAATTATTTTCCATTTTCGTAGCTTGGTTTCGTCTCTTTTTAATCATTTTGCGAGACTTTAAGCTGGGTTTTTAAGGAAATGTTTTTTTTTTCATATCTTTCAAAGTAGGAAGCTAGCCTACCGGTACAATCCTCCTTCTTTATCCAGGATTTATCAGAAACTAGCAGTTAAAGCTGTGAAGCTACAGAATACCCTCATAACTGCCCCAGGTGAAGATTTTCTATATACAAACTTAGACTATTAAATACATTTAGAGAAATGCCCTAATATCACAATTGGATCCAAAAATTACACAAACCTTAAAACACTCTTAAATATTACAGAAAAAAGCTCCAATGATCATCCGCCCCCAGGACCACAAGGTATACCAAGATGAATTAATTAAAACATAGGCCCACAAGTACTTACGGGAATTACTGGGGCGTATGTTCTTCACCTTAGTCTATAATGGACACGACCCTTACCACCGGAGTGGACCAAAGCGCACATATTAACAACATATACAAAAAAGGAGGGTAGAAAGAATTGTTCAAACTATAGGGGGCAAAGTGTTATAAAATTCACTCTCAAGACTGTATGGCAAAATAATAAAAAATAAAAATTGAAAGAGACGATAACCAGATTGTAGAAGAAAGCAGAAATGGCTTGCGTGCAGGGCAGATCCTGCTGATGGACAGTAATATTCGCTCTAAAAGGCAAGTTAATCGAAAAAAGATTAGCCCACAACCTTTCAACTCATATAGTCTTTATAGATCTGACAAAGGCATACGATAGTGTACCACTGTCAATGCTTTGGGTAGCAATGGAAAAACACAAGGAATAAGCAAAAAACATATACAAGCAGTACAACAGCTCTACAAAAATATGACGGCAAACATTAAAACTGGAAATAGATTAACTAGAGAAATTCCTATTAGTAAGGGCCTAAAGCAAGGCTGCTGCATAGCACCTACACTCTTCAAAATATATCTAAATGAGGCACTCTCACTGTGGAGAAGAAAGTGCTGCAATATGGGCATCCCAATCGGAGATGATAGATTGTACACGATACATTTCGCTGATGACCAAGCCATTCTAGCTGAAGACGAGAGTGATATAAGCTACATGCTTAGAAAACTGGAAGATGAGTACACCAAATGGGGCCTCACAATTAATATACAAAAAACTGAGTACTTAGTTGTAGGAGAACAACCAGAAAGCCTACAAATAGAAATGGGAACTATAAAACCAACAGACAATTTTAAGTACTTGGGAGTCCAAATAACATCAAAAGCAGGAAGTAGCGGAAGAATACATTCCAGGATTGGCCAAGCAAGATCAGCCACCAGACAGCTACACGGACTATTATGGAATAAAAAAATAACAAAAGAAAATAAAAGAAGAATTTATAAAACAATAATAGAAAGTATTGGACTGTATGGCGCCGAACTCTGGGAAATAAACCAAAGAAACAAATCA